AATGATTTATTTTGTTTACTTTATTAAGATTTATTATATTATATATATTTATTTAATAATATATAAAAATTATAAAAAATTAATACAAAAAGATTATTTTCGTATCATTACCTTTAAAATAAAATATATATAACCTTAAAGTAAAATATATATTAGGGAAAACCATCACCTTTAATTTTTTTTCTATCTAAATAAAAAATTGTTTTTATCTCCCTTTTCTTTCCTCTTCATTTAATACTTAAACTTCTCTCTTCTACATTTCAGGGTTTTTTATTTTTTCATTTTCCCTTGTGGCACTAATCAAGATCTGAAGATTCGTTGTTGTCATTTTGATTTTCTGGTTCGTTCTTTGGGACCTTTGCAAATTCAGAATTGGATTCTTCCTCTCAGAGAGCACCGTTAGACAATTTCTAGCATAAGGTGACTTCTTCGACTATTTTTTGACAATAAAATCTTTTCTTTTCCGGTGAAATATTATTAATTATTAAATATTAATTATTAACTATCAATTATTTAAAAAAAACTAATTTAAACAGCCTAAAATGTAGTTACACGTAGGTCGACAAGAAATTTTCCTTGATTAAAAATTTTTTGTCACATAATCTATAATTATCACTAGAAAATCTCATTAGTTTGTTTTATTTTTTGAACAAGAGGATAAGATCATAGACTTTTGAGATAATCATCATTATTTTATTTTGGCTCTCACAAGAAATACGACTTTCCTCTCTTTTCACTGCAACTTCACACCTCCTGTGCATAAATCTTTCTTTTACCTCCATTAAAACTTAAAGATTTCTTTAAGCTTTAAGCCCTGTTTATTCATAAATTGGTATGAGCTTTGGATCAAGTAGTGGTTCAAGAATTTTTTTACTGCACTCAAAATAATCCGGTGGGTAGTCGTTTCTTAGAAGAGCAGAGCATTCATCAAATTACCAGGGCAATAAGGACATATTCTCTCTAAAGATAACACTATTGTGTGCTTCAACTCAAACTATTCTAAACCATTTTTCTTCTAGGCAAAACCATAAGTTAAGCCCCTGAACTAACCCCAGAATCGCTATTAAGCCCCCAGACTTTAATTGGTGCATATAAGCCCCTGAACTGTACAACAGAAGCAATTTAACTCTTACTAGCACAGCAACTTAA